GGTTTTCCAGAGGAGGAAGCGAGACTGGGGGGTGGAGGTGGCACCTCACTCCTTCCCGTGCCCAATCCCACAGGGATCTCCAGCCCCCGGCTCTCCATGGAAGGTGCACGGGGGGCACGAGCCGTGGGCTGAGGAGGGGTGGGCACCGGCTGGGGGATCCTTAGGGATAAACAGGATAAAGCTCCAGAGCCCTGGAAGCCTGGGGCAGCGGGATGGGCTGAGGCAGCCGGGAGGCTCCTCTGGAGCCAGCGGGGCTCAGCTCCGGGCTGGGGGGGGTTGGAACCGTGTGAGAGCAGCCCCAGCTCGGTGGTTCCATCTCCCCCCCTTTGCTCTGGAAATGCAGAAGTTGCGCTCGTGGGAAACCAGAGCTCAGCTGTGGGAGCGCGGATGGCGCCGAACCTCAGCCCCGGTGGCAGCGGGGGGGTGAGGGGGGAGGGTTTTTTGGGGGTTTTTTGTCTCTTTTTTTATCTTCTTTTTTTTCCTCTTGCTGTCCTTTAGCTGCACTACGCTGTGGTTCTGGGCTCCTCCTCGGTGCCGAGGGCGGACTACGGGGAAAGCAGGTTTCTGACAGTCCTGGGTGGCACACGGGAACATCCCCGTGCCCGGCGGTGCCAGCGGGGCCGGGGGGGGTCAGCTTATTATACAGCCTCCCTTCTCCTTGAAGGGGTTCTTGTCCTCGGGGACCCCTTTCAGCAGCGGGTCCTCGCCCGCCATGGACTCGATGTACTCCTTGAGCTCTTTGCCGGTCTTGGAGACCTGCCAAGGAAGGAGATGTTCCGTGTCTGGGATGGGATGGGATGGGATGGGATCCTCCCTGCGGAGCCGCCCACGGACCCGTTCGTGCAGTGGGAAAAGGGGACTGTGGCCAGGAATGTCCCACCCGGCACGGGGTGTCCCCAGAAGGATTCCCAGGGTGGTATGGACACCTTGCCAGCTGCAGTGGGAGAAGGGAGTTGTGGCCAAGGATCCCACAAAATGTGAGTGTCCCAAAAGCATCCCCAGGGTGTTATGGACACCTTGCCAGGTGCAGTGGGAGAAGGGAATTGTGGCCAAGGACATCCCACACAATGTGAGAGTGTCCCAGGAGCATTCCCAGGGTGTTGTGGACACCTTGCCAGGTGTGGGGTAGGATCTGGGATGTGGGGCTCAGAGGGGAATGTTCTCCTGGAGGGGAGAGGTGGAGTGCAGGTGCTTCTGTGTTTGGGGGTTAATTTTAGGGCTTGTGGTCCTTTTCCTTTGCAGCAGGAAAGGAAGTCACCAACAGGTCAGAGCATTTTGGGTGGGAAACTCACCATTTGCCTCTCGTTCTTCACCTCCTTCTTCAGCTGATCCAGCTCCATCTTCAGCAGCTCCTTCTCTGTCATGTCCTGAGCCATTTTGCCCTGGAACTGCAGGGAAATGGCTCTTTATTGGGATTATTGCTTTGTCCCCACAGTATTGCAAACCCCCCCAGTGTCCCACTGCAAAAGGAAACCGAGGTAGGGGCCACCTCTCAATCCCCTTCCTGCCACATCTGTTGTTCCCAGATTTTCCTTTGCTCCTTCCCAGCAGGCAGCCTGAGGGCAGGGGAGGAGGATCCAGCCTGGTTTTTAAGGAGTTCTTTGCCACCACGGAGGCTGTTTCCCCAAGAAACCGGGTGGAGGAGAGAGTGAGCCTGGATGGTCCCGGAGAGGAACCTCTGCCTCGGGGCTGTGGGAGAACCTGGATGCCCAGGTCTGCCAACTGCACCTCCCTGAGGGGTGTCCTGTGCCCGGGCAACAACATCTTTGGGGGTTTCCTAAGGAACTAAATGGATTTCACTTTTTGTTTCCTCCCTGTGCCTTTCCCCCAGGGATCTATAACCTGGATTGTGGCTCCTTCATTGCTCTGAACTTGGCTGTTTTTATGCACTTGCTGCCACTGCAAGTTTTTGGGGGTTGTGTGGGTTGGAGAAGCCCAACCCTTTTCCCACAAAAGCCCATCCGGGGGTTATGTGAGATGCCCCCAGAGCTGACCTGCACTGTGAGATCTATTTCCGTGTCCAAACTTGGGTTTTAAAGCCTGGGCAGAACCTTTTCAATCAACACAGAGGAGCTGAAGCTGAGCTGTGCCCTGGCCCTGCTCGGAAGGTGTCGAGCCCGAGCGTTGCTGTGCGGCCGCTCCCGTGGCAAGTGCCCCCCGTGTCCCTCTTCCCACCCATCCCTCGGGACACAGCCGGCCCCGGGAGCTGCACCAGGAGCCCAGAGTGGCACAGCCCACGGGGAAAGTGGCTCCCAAAGCGGGTGGGACCCACCTGGAGCAGCAAAGGCACTCACCTGGGGGGGCAGGGGGGCTGCCCCGCGGCGCGGTGGAGACGCTCAGAGCCCCATCCGAGGGGAGATGCTGCTCTCCTGCTCGGAGCTGGAAGACTCCTCCAGCTCTCTGGGAGGGCAGTGGGAAGCAGATGTCTTTGGCCCTTAAGCTGATAATGGACTCAGGAGAATAAGCTGGTCAGGTGTTGGGAATTAGCCTCAAAGTCCAGGGTAAGCAGCGGGGCTGTGGGGAGGGTGAGGATGGGCAGGAAGGGTGGGTGGGTGACTGGGACACCCGGGAAGTCCTTGAGTCCCTGCCATGGGTGTCTGAGCCCGTGGAGTGTCCAGATCCTGATTTGGGGTGGCAGGACTGACCCCTGGGGGGATCAGGGCAGCTTCCACCCAGTTTAGGAAGGGAACTGGGGCGAGGGGGCTGCCACGGCCTCGTCGGGGCTGGGAGCGGCTCGGGAGGCTCTTGGTCCTTCAGGGTGTGAGGAGCTGGGCCGGTGCTGGAGGAAATCCATCATTTCCCTCGTCCTTGTGCTGGAGGAGCCGCGGGCTCAGGAAGGGCCAGGCCCTAACGAGGGGTGTCTCTCCTGCCTGGCTGGTGCAGAGTCACTGGGGCTGAGGATGGGCCCGGGCGGCCCCAAGGAAGCACCTGCGGGTGGAGGAGGAGGAGGAGCCCGAGAGGCCCCAAGGAAGGACCTGTGGGGTGGAGGAGGAGGAGCCCGAGAGGCCCCAAGGAAGGACCTGTGGGGTGGAGGAGGAGGAGCCCGAGAGGCCCCAAGGAAGGACCTGTGGGGTGGAGGAGGAGGAGCCCGAGAGGCCCCAAGGAAGGACCTGTGGGGTGGAGGAGAGGGTGGAGGGGGATTTCCAAGCACGGGGAAGTGGGAATTTCCTGCAGCCTCACCCCGTGGGGATGTGAAACGTCCTCAGCAGAGCACTGAGCAGGACACACTGTCCCGGGCAGGGAAAGGACGGGCGCCTCGTGGGTCACTTGGCACATCCCACTGTGCCCCGAGCACAGCCAGGCCCGGGTGACCTGTGTGGGATGCACAGGGGCTTTTCCAGGGAGGGGGACCTGGCAGTGGAATTGCTGCCCTTGGCTGGACCCCGTGCCTGGCCCATAAAGGCGAAGGGAAGGAAATGATCCTAATGTTCCTTGGATCCCTGGATGTGCTCGTGCCTGGCTCAGCCCCAGCCAGGAGGGCAGCAGTGGCTCGAGGACGGCGGGCACGGGTGGCAGAGATGGGGGTTGGGATCATTTTGGGGATCATTTTGGGTCACTCCCCCCCACCCTGCAGGTTCCCCCCGTGACTCACATCCTTCCCCACTCCCACCCCTGCCCCGGGCAGGGCAGCCCCCCAGGCGCGTCCCTCGTGGGGCCGGAGCCACGCCGGTTTCCTTCCCCCCCGACCCCCGCCTTCCCTTGGCGGGGCCGCGGGGTGTCCCTCGGGGGGACGGGGACACGGCGGCGCCCGCGGGCCCTGCGTCAGCACCGCCGGCGGCTCCCAAAAGCGGCCGCGGAGGAAGTGCGAGCGCAGCCCGGCAGCGATGTCGGAGCTGGAGCGGCTGCGGCAGCGGGACATCCCCGCGGGCCGGCAGGGCCTGCGGGAGCAGCACGGCAACCTGCACAGGGTGGCCGAGTACTGCGAGAGCAACTACCTGCAGGTGGGGGCGCGGGGGGCTCAGGGCGGGACGAGCCGCGGGCTGGGGCTGCGGGGATGCTGCGACCACCGGGAGCCCCGGGGCGGTGGGGTGGGGGTCCTGGGGGGGCGGTGGGGGTGGTGGTGAGAGCTGTGCCCTCGGAGCCGGGACCCTCCACTCGGGAGCTCCACTCACCAGTTCAGGCTTCCACCCGAGCATCTCCTGCCTCGGGCTCGTTTTCCCCCTGCCTCGGTTTCCCCTCTTGCTCCAAAGCTGCTCTCGCGGTGGGTTTGGGATGAAGGGAGAGTTCCCCAGGGGTTTGGTGCCTCTGGGAGAGGACCAGGGACTCCAGGCTGTCCCCAGGGTGTCCGAGGTGTCTCCTGGGTGCCTGCAGAGAAAGAGTGAAGCTGAAGCTCTGCTGCCATCCTCCTCCTCCTCCTCCTCCTCCTCCTCGTCCTCCCTGCCTGGCCCTCACTGATGGAAGGGGGACAGGAGCTTTTGGGATGAAATAGGGATAAAAAGGCTTCTTCTGGTCCTCTTTGCTGCGGGAGGGAGGGGTGTCTCTGCTGGAGGGATCTTTGCCAAACCTGGCTGTGGCCTTGCTGGCTTGAGCCAGACCCCGAGGCTGCTCCCAGGGGGCTGAAGCCGCCGGAGCAGAACTGAAGGGGAAATGTGAGGAACTGTTTAGAGAACTGAGAGACCGTCCCCGGCACAGCTGGGGCCCGGCCAGGTGTCCCATGTGTGGCCTCCTGGTGGCATGGCCAGCTGTCCCCAGGGGAGGCTGAGCCGGGCACTCGGCTCCAGCACCTGCCAAAAACATCCCGGGGAGGATTCCCAGTGGATCCCCAGTGCCGGGATCCAGCGCCCTGCCGCGTGTCCGTGTGTCCAGCCGGTGGAGCCGGAGGAAGTTTGATGCATTTGGAAAGCAGAAGAGGCATCTCTGCCAACGTGTGACTCCAGCGTGGAGGGTGGCAGTGCCTTGTGGGGTGGCAGTGCCATGTGGGGTGGGCTCCAGGCTGGTTTCCCCCCCTCCAGGCCAGCGACAAGCGGAAGGCGCTGGAGGAGACGATGGCCCTGAGCACCCAGTCCCTGGCCAGTGTCACCTACCAGGTCAGCAGCCTGGCCACCGCCTTCCTGAGGCTGCTGGACCTGCAGGCGGCCCAGCTGCGCCAGGTGGAGGCCGATGTCACCTGCGTGGCCCAGGTGGGACCGTCCCCCCGCGAGGGCTTTGGGGTGGGCTCTGGGAAGGGGGGTCCGGGCAGCTCCCAGGGGTTGAAGCCCCGCTGGCCCTGCAGGGCTCGGGCTCAGTCCTGGTCCTCCAGGGCATCCCCTCCCTTCCAGGCAGGGACACGGGGCTGGGAAGGGTGCTGGGAGGGGGCAGGGGGTGTGGGAGAGGCCGGGATGGACGGTGGGCACGGTGTCACCTCCGCAGAGGGTGGACATCCACAAGGAGAAGGTGTCCCGCCGGGAGATCGGCTCGCTGACCGTCACCAAGAGGTTCCCGCCCTACCAGAAGATCGTGGCCCCCTCCAGCCCCCCCAGCCTGGAGCCCTACTACAGGAAACCCCTCAACTTCAGCGTCCTGGACGACATCGGCCACGGCATAAAGGTCAGCTGGGGCAGGAGGGGGGGCAGGGGGGTCCCACAGGGCTGGGGGGGCTCGGGTGGGGGGCCCTGATGTCCCCAGTGCTGCGCTGACGGGGGCAAGGGTGGGCTCAGAGCCCTCTTGGAGGGAGAATTGGGGTCTGGCCGTGCCCTGCAGCCCCCTCGGGGACTCATCCTGCTGGGACTCAGTGCTCCCAGCCTGGGGAGGGGGACACAGGCCATGCACAAAGGACACTGGGGCACACAGAGGGACCCTGGGGCACACAAAGGACCCTGGGGCACACAGAGGGACCCTGGGGCACACAAAGGACACTGGGGCACACAGAGAGACCCTGGGGCACACAAAGGACACTGGGGCACACAGTGCTCAGCAAAGCCCACCTGGGGACAGCCCTTTCCCAACCCAGGAGGGGGTTTGGAGCCCTCCAACCCCCACGGAGCCTTTCCCAGCCCCGGAAGGCGCCCACGGGAGGGTGTTCAGGGGCCTCTGAGGCACGAAGGGAAGTGGTGACACCGGGCCCGCCGTTCCCACGGTGGCTGGTGCCGCGTGGCCGCCCCCGCAGCGCCGGCTCCTTCCGCGGGGCCGCTCCCACGGGGGGCCAGCAGGGGCCTGGGGGGGCCAGCAGGGGCCTGGGGGGGCCAGCAGGGGCTCGGGGGGGGCTGCCATCCCCCATCACATCTCCTCGTGTCCCCGCAGGACCTCAGCACGCAGCTCTCCCGCACCGGCACCCTGGCTCGGAAGGGCACCAAGTCCTCGGCGCAGGCCGTGGGCACCCTGGGGTGAGGATGGGTGTGGGATTGGGGGGTGGGCTCGGCCTGCCCGTGTCCCCCGAGTGGTGTGGCACAGCCAGGACCCCGTGCCGAGCTGCCAGCCGGACGCTGTGCCAGCCGGACGCTGTGCCAGCCGGACGCTGTGCCAGCCGGACGCTGTGCCCGCAGGAGGAGCGCCCGTGTGCCCGAGCCCATCCAGCCGCCCGTGGTGCCCGAGGGGAAGCTCTCGGCAGCCTCCTCCACCTCCTCGCTGGCCTCCGTCAGGTACCGGCGCTCTCGGAGTGTCTGGGAAGAGCTGGGAGCTCGGGAGAGCCCCGGGGCAGCCCCTGTCCTGCTGCTGCTGCTGCTGGGGGAGGCTCTGCCTCGAGGTGAAAGATCGGGGGCTTGGGAGATCTGCTCCCCTGGCAGGGCTTTGTCTCTAGGGCGAAAATACCCTCTCCTGGAGAGGGTCCCTGCTGGGGAAACTGAGGCACAGGGTGGGTGAGGAAAGGGTTTGCACCCACAGCCAGGGGCGCCTTGCCCTGGCCTGGGGCGAAGTGTCTGTGCCCAGAGCGGGGGGCAGAGCCGGCTCCCCCCCCTCACCCCACTGTTCCTCCGTCCCCAGCTCCAGTGGGACCCCGGCAGCTCCTGCTGAAGGAATCCCGGCCCCGCCACCGCTGCCCTCCCTGCCGGGACCACCCGCTCCGGGACCACCCCCCCCGGGACCACCCCCCCTCCCTGGCGCTGCCATCCCCCCGCCGCCCCCTCTCCCCGGGGCTCTGCTCCCGCCGCCCCCCCCAGAGGGCTCGGCCGTGCCCCCCCCGGACCTGCCGCCCCCAGGTGAGTGCTCGGGGCTCAGGGGGCTCAGGGGGGCTGCGTGTGACCCCTGCCCCCCCAAGCCCTTCACCCCTCATCCCTCTGGGGGGTTTTGCAGCCCCCGAGGACCTGGAGCTGCTGCCCCCACCATCAGCTCTGCCCGACTTGGAGGACTTGGCCCCGCCACCACCACCCCCCCCCTCAGAGGAGCCTTCCTGGGTCCCAGAGAACTACCTGGAGAAAGGTACTGTGGACCCCCAGATCCCCTGGATCGACTGGGGCTGATTCCTTGTCCGCAGGCACAGCCCTGAGGTCACAGCCCTGCCCCACCCGTGATGCCCTGGCTGCTCACGTCCCCCATCCCACCCTTCCCAGCCATGCCCTGTCCCTCACATCCCCTATCCCACCCTTCCCAGCCATGCCCTGTCCCTCATATCCCCCATCCTGCCCTTCCCAGCCGTGCCCTGTCCCTCACATCCCCCATCCTGCCCTTCCCAGCCGTGCCCTGTCCCTCATGTCCCCCATCCTGCCCTTCCCAATCCCGCCCTTCCCAGCTGTGCCCTATCCCTCATATCCCCCATCCCACCCTTCCCAGCCGTGCCCTATCCCTCATATCTGCCATCCTGCCCTTCCCAATCCTGCCCTTCCCAGCCGTGCCCTGTCCCGTGGTGCCCTTGCCAGGCTCCAGGTGCCCTCTCTCCCCGCAGTGGTGGCCCTGTATCCCTACACTGGACAGAAGGACAACGAGCTGTCCCTCCAGCCCGGCGCCCTCCTCTTCGTCCGGCGCCGCTACTCGGACGGCTGGTGCGAGGGTGTGCTGGGGCAGGAGGAGGGATTCTTCCCTGGGAATTACGTGGAGCCCTGCTGAGCCCCCCGGCCAGGCAGCCCCTGCACCCCCTCCCCGGCCCGGCCACATCCCGCCCTGCTCGGGCCGCGCTTCTCCTTGGAATTCTGGCTTTGCCCGGCTGGGAAGGGGCTCGGGGAGCAGAGGGTGGCACCGCTGGCACTGCTGAGCCCTGGCAGGACTGCAGCCCCCTCTCCCACATCCCTTGGGAACGTTCGGCACCAGGACACTGAGCTGTCCCACATGGAAGCACAGCAGGTCCTGGGGGCTGATCCCGGTGCTGCTCCCGACCCCTGGGAAGAGCGAGGCCAGCACAGGATCAGACCCCAGGAACAGGAGACTGGGCTGAGCACCCCCAAGGATGAGGAGGAGAGCGGCTCCAGGAAACCTGCCTGCTGCCCCTTTGGCTTGAGCCACAGCAGGGATGACCCAGACCCCCATCCAGACCCCAATCCAGAGGGATTCCCTGCTGGTATTCCCATTCCCCGACTTCCACCAGCCCAAGGAAGAGAAACAACATTTCGGTGCAACTCAGAGCTGTTTCACACCCAGGTTTATGTCCTGGATACAACCAACTTTGTGTCTGCAATATAGAGATCTGTCTATGTACATATACATGTAGCTTTAATTCCATGGCTTTGAGTTCCACACAGTCGAACGGGGTCCGGAGGAGGAAGAACAAAGAGGAGGGGATGAAATAAGAGGAGGAACAACTCAGGGCTGCTTTGGTTATTTCCTTACTGCTGGGGTTTGCTGTCAGGGATCCCAGGGTTTGGAGGAGTCACGAGCCACCCTCGGGGGCCGGTAAGGCTGTGGATAAATCCAGGAGAAGCCAACACCGGAGAGCAGCGGATCCTGGAGGTCCCCCCTGCAGAGTGCAATTAGAAGGGGTAATTAATACTGCAGTGGGGGGGGGGACACAGGAAAGGAGGGGGGGTTTGGCCTCTGGGGACCCAGTGCCAGAAGTGCCACAGCACCACGAAACCTCCCCTGGGGAGGTTGGGCACCTCTCCACCAGGTCAGGAGGGGAACTGGCCCCTCCCTGGGGGAAGAGGGGAGTCACACGATCCAGCAAGCACAGGGACACGACTGGAAATGGCTCAGGGCAAGGAGGACCTGTCAGGGACACAGGGACACTCCTCCCTGGGAGCAGGAGCAGAGGATGGAAGTGGAAGGCAAGGACAGCTCCTCCTCCCCTGGGCAGGGAGCGGGGCTGGGCTGGGGAGGTTTGTTCCAAGCTGCCACCTCTCCAAAAGCCTTCCTGGTCCTCATGTCATGTTTTTCTCAGAGAATAAAGTCCTGAGGGACAAGTCCTGCTGAGCCATCCCAAGGCTCAGCAGCTGGGCCTGGAGCTGCCCTGCCTGGGTGGGATGTGGAGGAGCCAGGGAGCATGAATTTCCTGGATTACATTCCCAGTGGGCTCACAGAGGGAAGGAGCCCTCGAGCACGAGCAGGCAGCTCCTCGTGTGGCCGGGAGGGGGAGGATGGCAGGAGGAAGGATGTTCCCAGCCCGCAGGGAACTGGCTTCTGGATTTTCAGGAATTCCCTCGTGAAGCCTAAAGGGAGAAGAAAAAAACCAAGACGACCCAAACCAATCCCCAACAACGTTGGCAAAGGCCCCCGGGGGGCCCAGGAGTCCGAGCTGCAGGGACGGCTCCATCTCACCATGGCAGGGGCGGGACAGGGGCCTGGAGAAAGTGCTTTATTCACCGGGGAGGGAGCTCGGGGAGGCAGGAAAACACCCCGGGAGCGGGGACAGGCAGGGGCACAGGACGTGGCCACCCCAGGCTTCTCTTTTTCCCGGCCACTCGCAGGACACTCCGGAGCCTCCCTCAGCATTTCCTCTTGAGGAGCTCCTGGAGGTACCGGGCAACTTCTGTGGCCGATTCCCACGGGACAACGGTGGCCTGGAAGGCCCCGGGCTGCTTCTGCTCCATCTCCTGCGTCATCCTGTGCATGGGGAAGCCCTTCCGTGGGAAAGCCACGTCCGCCGAAGTCAAAGCCACGGAAGGGCAGAAATCATTGGCGCCGTCTCCCACGTAGAAGACCCGCTCGAACTCCACCTCCTCCTGTGCCCTCTCCGCCAGGTATTCCGTCAGGATCTTCCTCTTGCACATGTTGGCCGGGCAGTCAAGGCACTTGTGGCTGTGGTAGGGCCCCAGGGTGAGGTAGCCCCTCTTGTCGAAGCTGGACGGGTTGCTGAAGATCTTCCTGAAGAGCGAGTGGACGCCGGCCGCCCTCAGCTTGGCCTCGATGCCGAACATGTTGGCGTCGGAGATGAGGATGAGCTCGAAGAGCTCGTGGTTCTTGGAGAGGAACTGGAAGAGCTCCGGCATGCCCGGGCTCAGCGGGATGTTCTCGTAGAGGGCCTTGAAGTCTGCGGGGCGCACGCCCTGGTCGCCCAGGAAGGCGAGGACGCGCCGCATGTACTCGTTGTAGGAGCCCTGGCGCTGGCTCTGCCGCAGCGGCTCCGGCAGCGCCTGCCCCGGCGCCAGGCGCAGCACCGAGTCGTCGCTGTTCTCGGCCACGATGGTCTCGTCGAAGTCGAACACCAGCAGGAACCGGGGGGGCCGGGGGGTGGCCATGCCCACGCCCTGCAACGAGCACAACGCCCGGGGCACGTCGGCATCGGCACCGAGCACGGCACCGGGCAACCGTGCAGCACCCCTGGGCCACCTCCCCTGGGCCACCTCCCCTGAACTGCCTCCCCTGGGCCACCTCCCCTGGGCCGCCTCGGGGGTTAATCCCCGCTGACACCCCCTCTGACATCCCTAAGGGGGTTATCCTGCCCCTGAAGGGATCATTCTGTCACCGCTAATCCCCCTGTTCCTGCCAATCCCGCTGTTCCTGCTCTCAAGGAGGTCACTGTGTCGCATCCCCGGACGGCCCCCCCGGGGGGTCTCATTAGATCAGGGAGTTAATAGGGCTGGAAAAAGTCTCTGAGAGCGCTGACCATTAACCCAGGACACCTCTAACCCAGGACACCTCTGGGTGTGTCACTGGATCAGGGAATTATTAGGGCTGGAAAAAGTCTCTGAGAGCGCTGACCATTAA